AGTACTCAAGGTTATTCAGGGCAAACTAAATATTTGTTCAAGCAAAACGCTGGAATGTAAAGAAGATACCGAGCTAACAAATGTCATTCTGGGTCCAAACATCTGTGATTAGTTTCCTCTGTCCAGAGGTTGGACTCAGCCTCAGAGATACAGACGGATAAAGGGTTAAATCATCTGGGGGGCTCAAAGGGGAGGGGTTTCTTTTTTTTCTTCCCCCAGGAGTCAGTGCGGTTCCCCTTGAGGTTATGGGCTGAATGTGGTTTCAGTTCCTGTTATGTGTGGTATTCTGCAGAGCAGTCTAAATGTGATTAACTTGTTGCTTTGAATAAACTTTCTGCAAACTTTGTCTGTTGGGACTATGGTTGATTACTCCTTTAAAAATTAAAAAAAAGGCACACCTCCTGCCCAGGAATTGACTTCCAGCCCACTAGCATGGGTGTTGTTTTTATATCTTTCTTTTCTGGGTGAAATGTTTTTTTTAAATGTTTGATTTGAACTTGGAACAATTTAGATGTATATATCTACTTCTGTTTTAAAATACAGTTTCCTTTTTAAAGAGATTATTTGCAGCCCTAGTTTAGACTCAACAGGTGTCCTGGGTGTGGAGGTGTCCCCAGGGAACTAAGCCATCTCTGCCTGTTCTATAGCCAGCTTTTAAAGTGGATCAGATCTGAAAACTGGACATTTGTTTAGTTTAAATTTCTCGATCTCCTCATAAGTGGATGGAGAATAAAAAGGAAACTGTTGACCCTGAGAATGATTTTTACCCAGTTTAGATAAATGAAACACTAAAAGGAAAATAAAAAAATATTAACCTGGAATATCTGCGATTAGTGAACTCGACTTTAATCAGTAGTTGTAGCAGTGGCGGCTGATTAAGACATAAAAAAAACAAATAAAAATTTAAGTATAAAATTAAAATATTCTGAAATACATTTATATATTTTTCCCAGATGTGCAAGATAAATATTTAATCTAATGACGAGTCAAGCTGTCCTGTTCGTCATCAGATTGGTAATGTGTTTTCGGCCTGGAGCACAAAAATCTTTGGCCATTGACTCTTGTTTAAAGTTGTACATGTGCAGTAGCTCCTCTGCAATACAAAGGATAGGAGAGCTCTGACTGCAGCTCTTCTGCACCCTGAGCTAGCAGGAATTGTCGAAACAGTCTTAGTGCAGGTGACTGACAGGTCGAGTCGTGGAAGTTGGAGATGATCATTGGTTTAAATCCCTTAAAGCAAGTGAAGCTGGAGATTAAATCGTTTGCACCTGATCAACCGAACATCAAAATTCTTCAGGAGTCCAAAGACAGATTCAGACGGTACACTAGGTGTTTTTCTAGGACCTGATTTAGATACAAGACTTGACTAACTGCATGTAGTGAGGCTAACGTTTTATACTACTTTCCCTGCCTCCTTTATCAAAATTTAGCATCTGACCCAGAATGGATAAAGACAGGTAGGACTGATTTAAAGCTGTCATGATTTTACAAAGTTCAGACCCAAATGCAGAAAACCGAAGCGGGAGACCAGGGAAATGGTTTAACGGGTTTCATTGAAGAGGTAAAACAGAGGGAGAAGTGTTGCTCTGAACACTGCTCAACCGGAACTGCAAAGTGAGGGAAGGACACAGCGGTTAGTTCAGGCTCAGTGGGGAATTTGACTTGTGAACTTGGAGAAGAGGATTTGGTTGCTGACTCACGTTTCCAGAGAAGTAGTTGAATCCGTGACTCCAGTCTGTGTGCTGTAGTTCCACTATTTGTCTGATTCGGTGGAGGGCGGAACAGGGTTTACCCAGAATGCAGTTGTTAGTAGGTGAACGGAGAAACTGACTGCCACTCAATTTCCTGCGGTACTTGAATAGGTCGTGGTGGTGTTTACTCCCTTTCTCAGTGCGAAGCTCAAACAATCTCTTGGGGAAAATGGATCCAAACCTCCTGTTTGAACCCCAGCTCACGAGGAAACCATCAGCTGGTGTGTGAGGAGGCGGACCAGAACCAGGCGCCTCCTGGTGGATGAAGGGAGACAAACACAGACATACAAGCACAAAGACAGAAGTCCTGACAAAAGCACCTTTTAGAAAAGGCAAATAATAATAAAATACAGTGTCATTTTTCTAGGTGTTTTTTTTATTTGCATAGTTGCTCTTAAATAAACACATTCTCAGAAAATAAATACTTTTTATATAGTAAAAAAGTATAAAGCTAATAGCTTTATAAGGGCAAAATTTATGTACAAAAAGTAAACCTATACTGTACATGAAATTGTTTTTTTGATTTTATAAGGTGCTTTTATTATGTTTTTTGTTGTGGGCATTCATATATATATACTGGTATGATAACTTAGTATACGTTTTATTGGTTTTTGGTTTACATCTATTTTGAATTTATAGCCCCCCCCTGGAGAAAACTCCACTGAGTTATAGCAATAGAAAATAAGAATGTAGAGGTTTAATCTTGGTGAGACTGCAAGGAAAGTGCTATTTCTTACGCTGATATTCTCCGAACCAAAGTTACAGTTTCCACTGTGAATGTCCATGTAATTGAAATAAATCCACTCCACAACGTCTTGAAGATGAAAACTGAAGTTTACTGTTCTTCTTAAAGCTTACAAAACGTACATGTATTAACAAAAATATCCTATGATGAAAATAAAAGGTTTAAAGTCTTTCATAAAGTTGAAGAGCAACAGGTAAGAAGACTGTTCGCTTCCACGGTTCCATGCAATCTAAAAATAAACATGCGAGAGGCTGAGGAAGCCGGCTCGTCCATCCTTAAAGCGACAGTACACATTTTTTAATCCAAAATCCAGGTAACCTTATAAACATGAATTCT